TTTTTTTTTTTTTTTTTTTTTTTTTTTTGGCTCCTAATGCTTCTGTGCTGAATACTCTGAGAACAGCTAGAAGTCACTAGAGTATCAGTTGTATAAAACGTACCAACAGAAACCTTGTGCAAAAGAAACTTTACATGGAAGCATTCTCATGGTGAAGGCTTGGATAATGTTTGAAACATGCTATTTTTACTAAAGTCTTAAAATGCAGAAACCCAAGTTGATTATCTGACTTGAGTGGAGGAAAAGCAGGCAAAGGAAATCCTTCTGCCTTCTTTTAAATTCTGCCAAGTATCAGAAACAGAAGTGACAGAAAAGTGCGCTAACAGAAACAGCAGGGAAACAAAGCCGGCCCACAGTAACCAACTGTTCTCAAAACCAGGACAGGGTAAAAGAGCTGGTTCCTCTAAGAAAACTCACAATAAAGGCGTTACAGGGAAAACTGGCTGATTTTCAAGTTGCCAGCACAGCACCTGGATTGGCCCTTGCAGCAACTTACAGGACAGGAAGACCACGCCAAATGGTTCTGATATCCTTTGGCTTATTTATACTTTGGTAAATCGAAACTCCCAAGGAAGGAAATTAAATCAATACTGCACACGTACCTCATTTAAAAGACGAGAAAAATGACGAATCGTGTGCTAGATAACCTCTAACATGTTAACACTGACGTTTCCTCCTAACACAGCTTCTCCTTCACCAGGCTATTTATCACTGAAGTGAAAGAGATACCACATTCTTTATAGTACTGACACTACCATGCCAAGTCCAGTGTCCATTCCCCAAAAAGTTATCCACTGCGCAAATGCCGTGAGAGAAAGTGCCAGTTCTCTACAGAGGAGTGGGCGGCTCTGAAAAGAGCCTTTGGGTTCAGGGCGCTGCGCGCGCTCACTTGGAGCTGGTGTACTTGGTGACGGCCTTGGTGCCCTCGGACACGGCGTGCTTGGCCAGCTCCCCAGGCAGCAGCAGGCGCACGGCCGTCTGGATCTCCCGGGACGTGATGGTCGAGCGCTTGTTGTAGTGCGCCAGGCGCGACGCCTCGCCCGCGATGCGCTCGAAGATGTCGTTGACGAACGAGTTCATGATGCCCATGGCCTTGGACGAGATGCCCGTGTCGGGGTGCACCTGCTTCAGCACCTTGTACACGTACACCGAGTAGCTCTCCTTGCGGCTGCGCTTACGCTTCTTGCCGTCCTTCTTCTGCACCTTGGTCACCGCCTTCTTGGAGCCCTTCTTTGGGGCGGGTGCCTTCGTGGGCTCGGGCATCGCGACGAAGACAACAAACACCAAACTGGAGGAGCCGGAGCTCTGACGCGGAAGAGGGCGAGCCACCCTATTTATCGGCCGCTTATGCAAATTAGGACGGGAAACGCCGCTTCTGATTGGTCCAAATAGCGCGCCAACGAGCCTTGCCCACTCAAAAGACGAGGCGCGCACAGTCTCGCGTCCCATTGGCGTAAACGAAAACGAGAAGACAGCCAATCATACGGCGGCCTTTTCGCGCCCCGAGGAAACTATAAGAGCCCAGCCCCGGAAACTTGTCACCCAACTCGTAACTGCCGTTTGTTCTTCGCCATGTCCGGACGCGGCAAGCAGGGCGGTAAGGCGCGCGCCAAGGCCAAGACCCGCTCGTCCCGGGCCGGCCTGCAGTTCCCCGTGGGCCGCGTGCACCGGCTGCTTCGCAAGGGCAACTACTCGGAGCGGGTGGGCGCCGGCGCCCCGGTCTACCTGGCGGCCGTGCTGGAGTACCTGACGGCCGAGATCCTGGAGCTGGCGGGCAACGCGGCCCGCGACAACAAGAAGACGCGCATCATCCCGCGCCACCTGCAGCTGGCCATCCGCAACGACGAGGAGCTCAACAAGCTGCTGGGCCGCGTCACCATCGCGCAGGGCGGCGTCCTGCCCAACATCCAGGCCGTGCTGCTGCCCAAGAAGACCGAGAGCCACCACAAGGCCAAGGGCAAGTAGGCCACTTCACAAAAAAACCTTCCAGTTAAGCCAAAGGCTCTTTTCAGAGCCAATCACGTTTTCTGGGAAAGAGCTTTGCATGTATTCCTTAAGGTGCTAAGGGCGTTGGGAAAGCTCCGGTCGTGCCTTCACTTGGGGGGCAGAAGCAGGCGTATCTCGGCTTCTAGGCCAGCTTGATCTCCACAGCTGGCTGCAGGGAGACCCTGTCACAAAGACAAACTGAGCCAGTTCAACAGAAAAAAGTTCGGTTTCAGTGCACGCTGCAACCCGGCTACCTGCGGCTTAGGCAAGTCTTGGGCCGGCTACTGCGGTGCTAGGCGCCAGGGGAATCTCACCCCGCAGGACCACCGGTGCCCGCGCCTCGGGAACGGAGCCAGGGTTCAACTGCTGACTTCAAAGGCTCTTTTCAGAGCCACCCACCTTCGCACAAGAAGAGCTGGGCCCGCTACAATATTGCGGTGGTGTAGTTGGTGTCCGGCGCAGAGCCTCAGGCCTGAAGCAAAATTTTCGGGTGACGGACAAGTTTTTGCTGATAACTGTAGACCGTTCATGTGTCACCCGAATGGATACTTCACAAAATGAAATGTCAGGGATAGTAAAGTCGGAATGGAATTATAGAATACCATACTGTATTCTACTTTAGAAGTTTGCATCCTATTTTAGCTGTTAGTTCATTGTATTCAATCTTTACAGAAGCAATACCGTTATCTCCGCAGAGGTGTGGGCAGGCTGTTTTCTGAGATCAAGGCCAGCCTGGTCTACATAGGAAGTTCTAAGCCAAGTGGGCTGCAGGGAAACCTTGTCGCAAGAAGGCATGGGAATTGCATACACCTTAAAATTTTTTGTGGGATACAAAAGAATAAGCAGAAACAAGCCAATGTTGGTCGCTGCATATTTAGCACCAATCAAAGAAAATAACAGCACATTTTAACTATAGCTGGAAGAATTAGCTTTCTTTGGAGCTGTATCATTTACTCCATTTTTTTTTTTTTTAATGCTTTTGGAAATATCTGAACATTAGCCCATACAAACTGCAACTGAATTTACTGAGGGAGCAACTGAATTAGTGGATTTTTTGGAAATCAGGATTTGGATTCTGTAATGTCAAAACCTGTTTAAAAAGGGATAACAGAGGCCGGACATGGTGGTGTACACCTTTAATCCCATAATTTTGGAGGCAGAGGCACACGGGTCTCACAGATCAGGCTATCCTGGTCTACCTAGCACGTTTCTGGCCCGCGTAGGGCTACAGAGAGAGACCCTGTCTCAAAAAGACCAAAAAGGAGAGAGAAAAAAAGCGATAAAGCATTATTTATCTCTTATTTAGGATGCATGTGGTCATCATTTTATTCCAAGAAATTGTTGTACATGTGATTGACATTGAGATTTAACTATAGAAAATACAAATGTCTCCAAACTCAGAAAATAAACTCATTATAGCGAACTAGAAATGCCAATAGAAAAAAACCTAGGAAATTCAAAAAGAATTATTTTTCTCCTTATAGAACAAAGAAACATCACATACTGATATTCATATACATACATAAATTTTTTGCACAGAGTAGATTCTTAAGATTGTTAAAATGTATTGTGGGGCTGGAGAAATGACTCAGCCATGAAGTGTTCATTGCCCTTAAAGGACTGCAGTTTGGATCCCAGCATGCACTTCGAGCTATTCAAAGTTTTAAAAAAGTTTTAAAACTTAGAAACAACGTTTCCAGTTAGGAGTTCATTCTTTCAAGGATGTAATTTTACTGCAATTTAGAAGTTACAGGGAAAAATTTCAAGGGATTAGCAAAATGAACTTGTAAACCAGGCTTGGTGGCGCAGGCCTTTAACCCCAGCACTCCAGAGGCAGAGGCACATAGAATTTGAGGTCAGCTTGGTCTACATAGCAAGTTCCAGGCCAGCTAGGGCTACAGGGAGATCCTGTCTCAAAAAGACAAAAATACATTTAAAAAAAAAAAAAAGGTGTTTTGAATTTAATTCACTGTAAATTAAATAATTCAAATATACTCAGAGGAGTATATTTAAACCTCATGAAAAAGTATTTGAAATATTCTGTGAACAGAAATATTGGCGAAAACCGATTGCGAAAATTTTAGAATCATATTTGCAATCCAAAATGTTAAATTTTCTATGTAAATAAAAATTAAAATTTATATAGCCAAATGGAAACCTCAGTATTCATTGTAAGTATGGTGAAGTAAAATTATGTCAAATGTGAAAAGTATGGCCATTAACACTGACGGACTCAACTGATGTGGAATCGGCTGTTACTTTTATAAAGAATTCTTTTTTAAAAAAATATTTTATTATTTTTATTTTACGTGTACTCAGAGATCAGAGGAGGGCGTTGGATTCCCTGGGACTGGAGTTAGGAGAGTTGTTAGCTGCCATGTGGATGGTGGGACTCAAACCCGGGTCCTCTGCAAGAGCAGCCAATGTTCTTAACCTCTTACCCAATGACCCAACTCTCCAGACCTTATTAAAAATTCTTAAGAAGGACTAATAACGCAGACACTAAGAAGGCCTTTTTACAATAATGGAAGCTAACTGGAATAATATCCTGGTAAAGGAGCAGCATCCGTTAGTCAGAATTAATCACATATTTGAATTAGGTAAAAATTACACCAGCATGTTTTTATTAAATACTGACACTTTGTTAAAATGTTCCCCCAAATAGTTATTAAGTACAGAAACCACTAAAGCGTTCAGACGGTTTTGGAGGAAAACAGTATTATTTAATACCTTAACATATGCATCCTTCCCAACAAAACACTTTAATTCTAGGTTACAGTCAGAATAAATCGTACTATAATAGGAAAAAATTTCACCGTGTCTTTGTTAAATGGCACTTTGTTAAAATGTTCCCCCAAATAGATACGATGGAAAATTAAGTACAGAAACTTTTAATTTTCTACCCAAGCAAGTTTTCTAAATACTTCACTGTTGAGTCACTCTGCCCAGCAATATTGTTTAAATCATACGATAGGATTTTAGTAGCAGTTACTGGTGTTCAATCCGGTGCACAGCAGACAAAAAAGATTTTTTAAAATCGGCCTTTACGTTCTGTAAAGTCCAAGTTCTTGCTAAGAATTCTTAGGAGAGACTAATACGCAGATACGGAGGTGGCCTTGAAGAGTTTTCGGGCGGCGGCCCCGCGGCCCCGCAGCGCTTTCTCAGACCTGACGCCGCCGCTCCGGGCCTTTTCTCGCCCACGTCAGTGTTTTCCGAGTGCGTTCCGAGGGCGAAGCCGGCAGCCGAGCCCCGGAGCGGAGCCAGGTCCACCCCCGCGCAGACCCGGAGCCTGAGGCGCCGGTTGCCGGCCTCCCCTCCCCCACCGCGGAGGGCGCGACTTCTCGCCTCCGCCCGCAGGTTCTCCCTTCGGTCCGCCGCGCGCCTTCTAAAGGCGGCGTCTCCCGAGGGTCGTCGCAGTTCTCCGCGTCTTTCTCCATAGTCCCATCATGTCCGGTCGCGGCAAGGGCGGGAAGGGTCTGGGCAAGGGCGGCGCCAAGCGCCACCGCAAAGTCCTGCGCGACAACATCCAGGGCATCACCAAGCCCGCCATCCGGCGCCTGGCCCGGCGCGGCGGCGTCAAGCGCATCTCCGGACTCATCTACGAGGAGACCCGCGGGGTGCTGAAGGTCTTCCTGGAGAACGTGATCCGCGACGCCGTCACCTACACGGAGCACGCCAAGCGCAAGACGGTCACGGCCATGGACGTGGTCTACGCGCTCAAGCGCCAGGGCCGCACGCTCTATGGCTTCGGCGGCTGATGAGCTCGGACCGCTGTGTTCACAAAGGCCCTTTTCAGGGCCGCCACCTGCTCCCTGAGGAGCCGCGACACTGCAGAGGCCGGGGTCTGGGTACTTTGTAAAGGTGGGTTTTTCGCTCGGTCTTTGTAGCTTGCAGTGGGACCCGAGGTGCTGACACTTGGCGAGTTACTCCACGGGTATAATAAAGTCCACCCAACGATAAGCTTGGAGTAATTCCTGTTAATAGAGCGTGTTGGTGGTAGTTTGTGCTTTTTGGTATTTGCCCTCCCGTTCTGCTTCCTACGTAAGAAATTATGAAAAGTTTTAAACTTTGTACGTGGTTTATTTCAACTTGGCACTAAAAAGTGTCTGAGTTTTGCTTGCGTGTTTGGTGCAGGGTTTGCTGAGGCTAAAAAGCTTGAACTGGCGTAGCCACCACGTGGGTTCTAGTTTAACCTGTTTCTTCTGAAAGATCAAGTGCTCCTAACCACTGAAGCATCTGTTTCTCAGGTTCAAGGTTGTAACAATAGATTTATCCTTGAAGTGAAGAGTAATTTGCATAGTAATTTCTGAGTCTTACGATGTATTGACAGTGGACAGATTTCAGTTCACAAGAGCTTTTTAAATTCAGAATTTATAGTGAATTTTGTGTGTGTTGACACAGTTCTTTTATGGTGATGGCATTGGTAGTTAAAAAAAAAACAAGGGATGTTAAAAGAACGTTGATTAGCTACAAAGAGCAAAACTTGTACTCTAGGTATGGAATGTATACGTATTTATCTTATTTAGAATGAAGTTTTGAGTTTCTAAATACCTGGTTCTTAATAGGGCTGCTGGAGATGGAATCTAGGGTCTTGTAGGCACTACATCACCATCCCTCCCCACATCCTTTAGACAGTCTTTGCCCAGGATATACTCAAACATGTGATTTTATTGTCTCAGATGCCAGGATAACAGGGATTACAGGCATTCGCTACCAGGTCTAGTTTTTCCCCTTACACCAATTCAGTGAATGTCTGGATTGGGTCATTTCAAATCTGACTTGGCACCTCAGTGGACTGCTGGTCCTTCAGACCTTTCAGATTTATAGAGCAACCTCAGATTTACATCATCTTTCAGTTTCAACACCCCCAATGTTCGTGGAACGCTCAGACCCACAAGATTGCTCTGTGGAGATCTCTCCCATGAGGGCCTCAATACTTCTGTCCATCTGTAACTTCTCATTTCATATCGACAGCCAGGTTTCCTCCAAAACTTCCAAAATATATCCAGCCCTGCTTTCTTTTCTCCCATGAATTTATTAGACGAGGACTAATACAACACGGAAACATCCATATTCTTTCTCCCAACCATCTTATTTAAAAACAGAAACCAAAATGAAAAACCTACCCCAGTTGATAACATATAACTACTCAAGTTCAAGAAATTTCCTTGCTTTACCTTCAAAAGAGATGCTTGATCTGATCACCTTTCACTTTCTCCATGTATGAGTGACCCACTGTTCTTTCAGATGACTGAATTTGGAATAACTTAATGGATTCCACTTGAGTCTCCCCTTCCTTGTGGAAAGGTTAATCAAGACCTTTGGTAATCACCTAAATATACCACCAGACCAGCTCTAATGGCACAGAGACTCAGACTTATTTAAAATGCTGGGGAAATATTTTTATTAAATCAGTTTAGTGGTTGTGGTACCTTCATCTCTTAGAAAGTACCAAAGTTAGGTTCCCAGTATCAAACTTAGCTCACATTAGCCTATAACTCTAGCTCCAGGGGATATGATGCCTTTTTCAGCCTCTGAAGGCACCTGCATGCACACATACGTACAAATAAATAAATGAAAATTTGAATAATCACTTTAAATTCAAATCTACAGCAAAGGTAAAGAAATGAGTTACACTTGGTAAGAATACGAGGCAGAAGCAGGTACTCTGGGAATTCCAGACCAGCCTAGTGAGAGAGAGAGACAGAGACAGAGACAGAGAGACAGAAGAGGGAGAGAAAGCAAGCAGATACACGACAGTAGCAAATTCCTGTTTTATAGTGCTAATATAGACACTTTTTTTTTCCCTATACTTTTTTTCTTTCCCACACAAAGCCTAACATACTCTGGGCTGGCCTACAGCTCCTTGTACCCTGCGCTGGCCTTGAACTCCTGCCTGATCCTCCTGTCTCCACCTCTGAAGCCTGGACTACAAGCATGCACCAGCATTCACAACTTACTTTTTCATTCCTGCATCATGCTTCTTCACTGGTACTGTGATAGACAAGAGAAGACGATGGTCCAAGTTTAGCAAGGTGGAAAGTTCCTGGGCTAGTGGCTGGTGTCTATTACAGAAAAAAATGCCTGGCCATGGCTTTGGCACTATACAGAGCTCTAGAATACTTACAAGTTAAACTTGTGGGTTTTGGGCTAAGGGTACTTAGATCCAGACTAGATACCA